GTTGAAAGAACTCAACATTAGTCTTATAATGACCGCATCGTCGATACCTTTCTAATGATATATACATATGTATATATATGTGTACGTATACATGATTTATACTTTATTTTAATACGTAAATATGCTATTATAATTTGTAACTCGTTCATATGGTGTTAACCGATGAAAATACACTTTGTACCTTACCAAGTCGTTAGTAGAGCGTGTGTGGCTAACCGGTATGCTAACAAGGACTAGTAAGAGTGGCAAAGGGAAACTTGGATTTATTATAGATCGGTGGAGCTATGTGGTTAACCAGCACATCGATTAGGTAATAAAGTTAAGGGTACCAAGTCAATATGCATGGTTATTCACACCTTGTTTGTGATCCTTGGCATCCCAGTCACAAACTTGAGAGGGCACAATCGAGATTCAAACATGGCATTGAAAGTTCAATGTATCTCACAAGTGTTCGAATAGTGTCTAAGGCTGCAACTATATTTGGTAAATACTTGACCCGATTGACCATGGTCATTTTGGGTTGCCTTCACCATAACAACTTGACAGGATGATCTATAATGAGAGAAGAAATATTATTAATATATTATGAGAATGATATAAGGAACAATAATATTGTTATTTGATTAATATAAGTCACAAATTAATTAGGAATTAATTTGGTGACTTAAAAAGATTAATTGAATAAAGGGGTATAAACTATCAATTGTATGATAGTAGTATTTTGAGCACTAACTCCTTAGGGATAAAGGGTGGACAGATTTTAGGGTTTGGATAAACCTAAAAATCATCCAAAGGCTTATCAATAAGGAGATTGTATTGCTTAGAGCCTAAGTTATCCAATTAGGGTTTTAAGGGTGAAACCCTAGGAGACTCACTAGTATAAATACACCCATAGGGGTGAGGAAATCGGCACCCTTGGTATTGGAGAAGCCCTGGCCGATTTCTCACCCTCATCCATCTCTCTCAAATCATCCTCTTGCTAGTTGGTGTTTGCAAGCCATTAGAGGAGTGACATTTGTGACTTTAAGCTCCAAGGACAAGAAGATTCAAGCAAGTAATTCAAGGTATTCTTTTAGATCTGATTTCTTGTGTTATTATACTAGATATATCAATAAAAGTCTTGGATACATTGCATGTTCAATTAGAGAAACCTAGATCCAAGCATTAGGGTTTGTATGTGCACATAGGAATGTTCTTATGGCCAAAACCCAACAGTGGTATCAGAGCCTTGATTGGTTTCTATTGAATTGATGCATTGGTTGCTTGATTGTTGTTTGAAAAAATTCGAATTTTGTCAATCTGCCTGATGAACTCGGCGAGTCCCATAGTGGACTCGACGAGTAGGCCTCGACTCGACGAGTCCATTGTGGTACTCGACGAGTCTGAGCGTCAGGAGGAGCTAATTACGGGATTTCTTGCTGTCTATCTTAAGGAAACTTGCCTTTATCTTAATGGGTCAATATAAATCCGATTTTATTATATATATGAGTAGATCCCTGACCTAATTCAAGATAATTACCAATTAATTGAATAATAATTTCCTTATGTGATAATTGATTAATTATGTTAATTAAATTGGTAAATTGTTTTGCAAGAGATATCAAATATGGATAATTATGAGATTAAATGGTTAATTTAAATTATTTGTTATTTGATCCCTTGTGTTTTAAAAGGTTTAAAACTAATCCTCAAGTTTTGAAATTTAGTTTTGTGATTAAAAGTTTAATTTGGACAATTTAAATTTCAAACCCTAGAATTTTAAAAGTTTAAAATTCTACCCTATACTCTATATGATTACAAGCTTAATATATATATATATATATATATATATATATATATATATATATATATATATATATATATATATATATATGTATAATTAAAATGCTAGTCTTACCGTTAGTAGGCCTCATTCACGAAGTCAGTCTGTAAGGTGGGTATAAGGTTGCTGCCTATAAAATGGCGCTTAATCGGTGTACACTCACACCCACCGCTTGCTTGATCGGTGGAGGGTCGTTAGCCGAACGGGTAGGATAGGGCAACTTCATCTCCTCGTTAAAAGTATAATATTAAATACAAAATAACTACATGTTTTTCAAAAAATTCCCAATCCTAGTTACTTTAGGAAAAGTGAATTGATGCAATCCCATGAAATTACACTTTGCACCCTTGCTAAGAAGTTAGTGGAGCGTGTGTGGTTTACCGCCACACTAATTGGTTCTAAGCATAAGTAGCAAACGGTGATTCATTGTTTATCATAGTTCGGTGGAGCATGTGTGGTTTACCGGCACATCGAATAGGTGATCGTTACAATGAAGGCGCCGTGTAGATTTGCATGGTTATTCACACCCACTTTGTGATCCTCGGCATCCCAGTCACAAACGAGAAAGGCATATCGAGATTTAAACATGCCATTGAAAAGTTCAATGAATCTCATCGAAACCTAGGAATTCTCAACACGTTTAAAACTTAAAGGTAATGTTTTCACGGTGGAGAATTAGTGAATCGTTATTCACTTACCTTCAAATTGTTTGCATGTTGGATTACGACATCCCTTTTCTAATATGTAAATAATGTTGTTGGATCCTAGCCCTAATTTTCCTTATTTGGTGATAATTATGGATTCAAATTCTAATCAATCTTTGTCCTTTCTATTTATAGATATCGAACGCCAACAACGCTGCTGCTAGTTCATTCACATTGATGAGCCTTTGCCAAAAGGTGACTTTCGATGGAACGAACTTTAGTGAATTGACAAGATACATTCGCATGATTGCTCGCTATGAGGACAAGGAGTATGTCCTCGATGAAAAGCTCGAAAAGATCAATCCAGAAATCCCTACTCTGGCTGAAATCACCGCTTTTGAAACTCATGAGCATGATGCAACGAAGGTTCATTGCATCATGATAGCCACTATGAGCTCCGAATTCCAAAAGTCCTATGAGGATATGTATCTATACGAAATGCATCAAGATTTATTGGAGAGATACCATCAAAACGCGAGGCAGGAGCGTTACGAGATCTTCACTAACATGATATATGCTAAAATGGGACATGGAGAATCTCTAACTGTACACTTGAAAAAGATGCAAAGGTATGTCGATCGTCTTCGCAAGTTGAATGTCGACTATAGGGAAGATTTGGCTATCGACATGGTACTTCATTCCTTGCCTCCGTGTTACAACCAATTTAGGATGACCTACCACATGAACAAGGAAGTGGTCACCCTAAGTAAACTCCAAGGTCTCCTAAGGGTTGCTGTCTTGCTGAGAGCAACCTCAAGGACAAGTCTGTTGCACCAACTCTCAATCCACCCGTTGCTCCTGTTTTGGATATTGGGAAAGGAAGGGGCAAGAAGTGGAAGGCTCCATCTAAGAGCCACCGCAAGGGAAAGTCCCGAGATGGTTCCTCTTCTAGTGGGACCAAAGTTGATCCCGCTAAGTCCAACTCTAACCCAAAGGAGGCAGAGTGCCACCATTGCCACAAAATAGGGCATTGGAAGAGAAGCTGCTGTCACACCCCAAAACCGATAACGGCGGAATACGTTTCGGGGTGGAGGACGTCATGTACAGTATCATCACAATTGAATAATAGTAAAAACAAGAAACATACAACCATTTCATTTACATAGTGAGTTTAATTACAAGTGTGTTTTTGTAATGTTCAACAAACACCAAAAGTAATACAAAATAAGAGATGGATCTTGTATGCTCCACCTTCTCCAAAATGATGCACCTGAACCTGTCTATCTTTGACCTGAGGATACAAGTTATTTTGAAAACGAATATCAGCATGACGCTGGTGAGTTCATAAGAGTTTAGTGTGAGTTTTGTATACATGCATTAGAACTGATAGTATGAAAAGTTGCAATTTACATTCATAAGTAATAGAAAACCCTAGAAAATCCTATATTTTCCAGAGAATACATTGTAAGTGAAAAACCTTAAGGAAACAAGAAATCTTCATTTGTGAAAAACTGTTTATTGTAAAAGTATATCATTGGATCTCCAATAAGTAATTTAATAAGATATGATATACCTGTAGTAGTGATAGAGGTGCAAACTCCCCTTAGTGATAGATACTTATTTACTTCGGGAATGTTAAATTAGACTTTATTTTAGTATTTTAGTGTGGATATAGTGTATTCCGTGTATGTTACTGATAGTGTGAGCAATAGAGAACCCCATGACCTTCCCGGTCATACACAGTATAGTGAAGTAGTGGCATCCCTGGGCCTGCACGGCTTGGACTGAAATTAACAGTCGGGATGTACTAGTGTCTGCCCCGTATAGATCTATACATGTAGTGTCGTCTTCCGATCGGAAAAACTCTGGGCATAGTATGTAGCGAATAGAGTATCTCGTAGTGAGTTAGTGTGTTATCTTCTGTTTAGTGCCTTTTCTTGTATTATAGTGTGGTAGTCTTTTGTATAGCTCGTAGTGTGTTCTCTTACTAATGTATCGTCTCGTAATAGTGTGTAGAGTAGTAGTTATAGCGAGTAGTAATGGCCTTAACTATACCTATTATAGTTAACTTAGTGTGTATAGTTCTTACCAATTTAGTGGTTTAAACATCGGATGAAATGAAAATGTTTGTATCCAACACTAATATACATGATATATAACTAAGAAATTAACGACAGTCGGACGGATAACAACTACCCTTAGCCCACAATCAAACAAGAACATGGAATAAGGCGAGCTATCGGTCCTAAGTCCTTCAAGTCTTACTTATATAAATATATTAGTGTGGTTACTTTTTATAAGAAACTTTATTTAGGAAATATCTTATCCAAAGGGAACATTTAAAAAAAATTGTTTATTTATTCAAAATAGCTTTGAAAACCAAAAATCCTTTTATAAGGCATAGTGATAAATCACATGTGATTAATTTCCATAAACATGTATAATTGACTTCTATCCCCCCCTAACACATATAAAAACAATTGAAAGGTTCATTAAAGGGGTATGAACTCACAGTTTATCGGAGGGTTCGAGTGTCAACGGATGCCCTGATTGCCAATGGTTCCTATAAATCATGTGATGACACATAATTGGGTTAGAACTAGGATGTTTCATGCTTAAACATGATGTATATACATTCTTAGGGATTGGCATAAAACACCGGAGGGCAGGACCATTTTGGCGTATAGCACTTCTGAAATCCAACAACCCTATGCGGCCCTTTAAACCAGATTCCCCGTACCGCGAGTAGTTAAAAGATATTATAACGACACTTATATAAGTCATAATAATAGCTCAAATATTTATTATAAATTTATAATAACAATAATAATTTTAAATATAAACTATATTTAAAATAGGGTAAGCATAACTTACTTTCAAGGGGATTTTAGCTAGGAGTCGGGCTCTGCAGGGGCAGAACTTCGTCGTTGAATCTTTCTAAGAAAGATTCGTGCAGCGCTTCAGCGCTCACCTTACTATACTAAAACTACAGAAAGAGAAGTCGAATCATGAGGGACCGAAATGATCGGGGGATAAGGAGAGAAATACTCTTGAGTCAAGAGAATGGTGCAAGAAATATGAGAGCCCAAGGCTCTTATTTATACTAATTGAATTTTCAAAAACTACCCTCCATAATTACTTAATGACCTTTTAGTTATATAAACAACTAAACACCCTCTATAATACTATTTTAAATGGATTTAATGATATTTGTACTAAACTAATGTCGAAAAAACTCAACATTAGTCTTATAATGACCGCATCGTCGATACCTTTCTAATGATATATACATATGTATATATATGTGTACGTATACATGATTTATACTTTATTTTAATACGTAAATATGCTATTATAATTTGTAACTCATTCATACGCACTCCGATTTTGACGTCCTTTATATCCACGCGTAGGTGGAGACGTACTCTACAACTTTCGTTTAGACTCCGTCGGCTAATTTTGACTTTATTTTTAAAGTTATATTTTTAACAGGCCGGGACAGGATTGGTCCGTTAAAATCTCATAACTTCTTTATCCGATGTCCATTTTCGTCTGTATTTTTATCGTTACACTACTAATAACGAGATCTTCCATTCTTGTTTAGGTTGTGTCGGCTAAAAATCAATCGATCTAAAATTCGAATTTCGGGTTGTACACCGCTAATCCGAAACTTCGAAAAATCATAACTTCTTCATACGAAGTCAGATTTGGGCGTTCTTTTTATCGATGTTCTTAGTTTAACATATTCTACGACTTTCTTTTAGAGTGCTAAGGCTAAATCTCTCTCTATCATAAATTACTATTTTACGCTTCCCGGTGCCGTGCCGGTTCCGACGCGAAACTTCGACGGGTCATAACTTCTTCGTTATAACTCGGATTTCGGCGTTCTTTATATGTACAGAAACCTTGTGACATATTCTACAACTTGGTTAAGATTATTTATTCTAAATAATCTTTTTGTAGAAAAGTCATTTTCGACCCCTATTGCCTCTAAATTGACTAGGCCGGATCTGCGGGCGTTACATTCCCCTGCCACCGCCATTCTTGGAACACCCAACACTTTCACAAACGAAGAAGGAGCATCATGTCTTTTTTTCCCATTTGAAGATGAAAAAGCAAACAAGAAAACATCCTTAACATTTCTCATGTGGGTCCCCGTTTGACTTTGACTTTGACTACTCAAGGTTCTACTACCTTTTGAAAGTCCAACCGCTACATGATCTATTTTAGGCCTTAAAGATTCCACCTTTTTGTCTTCTAACATTCCGGGAATTGAAGAGAATGAAAATTGACCTTTGATGGAGATGGAGGGTAGGATCTTAGGGGTGGGGTGAAGTTTTTTTTGGAGGGAGTTGACTTTTTTAGGGCGGTCAACGGCTACCCCTTTGACCCATCTGACCATTGCGATCCGTGAAGTGTAATTTGGGTCGTATTCGATTCGTTCAACTACACCTACTGATGAAGTGTTGCATTTTAGGTCAATTGTTCTTTGTGACTGTTTTGCCCCTCCCCCTATGTGGAAAATTGTGATACGACCCTTTGAATTTCTACCTGTTGACTTGTCTTTACCTGTAACGAATTGCCTAAGTGGCCTTTCAGAGCTCACATTTTGAGCACCTATAGGAATATGTTTAAGTCAGTAAAACTATTTTTGTTTGGATAAATCATAGATGCATTTCAGATAACAATATAATCAGTAATGTTCAAATCCTAAGCACCACATCTCTACAATCAAATTAAGAAAGCTAGAAATGACATCTCTTTGGTACTGATTATCCATCTTGAATTGAAAATATGCAACTTCGCTTTTGATGTCAAAAATGTTGTTTCTTATTAAAATCGAAGTTAGTGTTCAACAAGAAGAGCAACAAGCAAACAAATTCAAAAAGTCACCTATTTCATCAGCAATTCATAAAACACGTGTTTTCGGCATTACTATCACAAAATTAACACTCTGAGAGAACCAATATCCCAGCAAAGCTGGAACCTCAAAAACAGAACTTTGCCTTGGGTGACTACCGATACCCTTAAGCATTTTGACCTTATACAAACGTGGGTTTTGAGGCTAGAGACACACAGATGACACTCGAACATGTAATAATTTGAAAGAGCTAGGTTTGACATCAAAACTGGAACAAAGAATTTGTATTTGCACATTAATTCCGACATCAAATTCAATCTTTATTGAGCCCCTTTTTCAGATTCATTTCTCTTGAACATGATAATTTCAACTTCAAATTTGCATTAAAAAAAAAAAACTTACGGCTGATAGAGTGCTTAGATCTCATCTGAATGTTGCTAATCCTCGAAGTAATCTCAAGCGAGTGGTGCGAGTGTAGAGGATAGAGGAGATAAAGAGAGAACGTGGTGGCTTCTTGTCACCGAAAAAGTGTTACGAGAGCCCAGTAGGTGGCGGCGACGACGATCAGATACAAATACAGTGAGTGGTGCGAGGTTGGAGAGTGGGTGGTGATTCACTACCGATGGTGATGATAACGATGAGTTAGGCGGATGAGATGTGATGTCGGCTTTTCAAAATAGGGTTTTTGCTATTTGTTTGAGGGAAAATGCGAGCGTAGATGACAGAGGAGAAAAATAGTATGTTTACTTTTTTTATTCAAATTTATGAAACGTCAATGTTAATGCCATTAATTTGTCAAACGAAAATGTTAATATTTAATGCAATTAATTTGTAAATCGGAAATGTGATAAGAGTATTAAAAGGTATGAATAAATTGATTGTATATTATGCAATAAGTGTAGTACCTCTTAAATTTCAAGAAATGGGCAATATCCTTAATAATATAGTAAATATATATATATATATATATATATATATATATATATATATATATATATATATATATTAATTTTTATGTATATGTTTCATTCGTTGTATGTTACAGTATTACTATGTTACTATTTAGTATTTGCTATTGATAGTATTATTTTCTTAATCCTTTTAATTATTAATTTCCTTGTATTACCAATCATAGCTATTGCTAAAGATATGTAGGTACCCATGTTTAGTATAAGCATATCGTCTATTTTTATTTATTAAAGTCCCTATGTTTGATTATAATTTTTGTTACTAAAATGGGTTAAAGTTTATTGTTATTTCTATATATCTTCTCAAAGTTGGTTACCATTTTACATGATTGTTAAGTTAGTTTATAGTAAGAGTTGGTTGTTGGTATCTATTGTCAAAGTTGGATGTGTTTTTTTTGTGAGCTTTTGATAGTTTATAATGAGTCCATCTGTGTTATATTATAAAGTTCCTCTATTTATACATACTATATTATAAAGTTTTTTTGTATTCAAATATTTATTTGAATCAACGATTATAATGTTACATAAATAAAAAAACATAAATCTCTTAATTAATAATTTATTTAAAATAATTAATAAACAATTATGAGTTTTACTATAAAGTTTTATTTAATATTGTAATCGTGGTTTTTTACGGGCTATAAACTATAGGGTGTGTGTGTATGTGTCTATATATATATATATATATATATATATATATATATATATATATATATATATATATATATATATATATATTAGGTTATAAACCGTGAAAACTACGGTTGGTATATTTAAAATTTTGATATAGATAAAAAATAATAAATATTAAAAAAAAAAAAAAAACAAAGATATTATCTATTGTAAGTAATTATGAATTAATTTGTTAAGCAAAATAAACATTATAATGCTATTACGATGTTATTTTGTATTTTCCAAATTTGAATTTAAATTGAAGTTGATTTCTTACCAAAAAAATAATAAAAATTATATAAAAATGTGTCAAAAAATATTCATGTGTCATTTTTTGGTTTTATTTATTACAATATATATATAGTTAGGTTCATGTGAGACGGCCTAATTTTGTGAGACCGTGAGACGCATTTTTTTATTTTTTTTTTTTATTTTTTTTAATTTTTTATAGTTAATTCAAGTTCGAAGATAATATTAAATTTTTTTTTTTTGGATTTTTCCATTTCTTTTGCATTTTAAAATTATTTTTTAGAATATGTCAGTGTAATATTATATTAGAATATTTCACGTATTTTTTTAAAAAAATGGAATTTATTTTTATTTTATTTTTATTCTTTTTAGTTAATTTAAATTCCGAAAACAATATTTAAAAAAAGGATTTTTAGATTTTTCCATTTATTCTGCATTTTAAAATTATTTTTTAAAATATGTCAGTGTAATATTTTATTAGAATATTTCACTTATTTAAAAAAAACGGAATTTTTTTTATTTTTTATTTTTTTCAATTTTTTAATTTTTTTTAGTTAATTCAATTTCCGAAAATAATATTTAATTTAATTTTTTTTTGATTTTTTTCATTTATTATAAATTTTAAAATTATTTTTAGATTTGGTTTCACGGTCTTACAAAATTAGAATGGTTTCAAATGAACCTGAATATATATATATATATATATATATATATATATATATATATATATATTATATATATATATATATATATATAATATATATATATATATATATATATATATATATATATATATATATATATATATATATATATATATGGCATCCATGAATAATAGACTTTTGAAGAAAGAGATAGAACTATAAATTCGGAAATGTCTGGATATCATATCAACCGTAAATGAACTTTTTGAAAATCGTAACGCCAAGACAATTGTAAGAATGATGTCAAATTAATTAACCAATTTATTGTATATTTGCAATTGAAATATTGGCTACCTAGCTAGTATTCTACATTCTACATAATGAATGCACAAAGGGGTTCGTTCATCAGGTTCTTCCGAACAATGAAGTCAATCAGACAATCAACCTGATACCTCAACATGGTTCCATTTGTTTGTGATGGTGTCGATGTAAACAGAAGCTTTGTTGTCAATACGAGGATCAGCCCAACGTCCTGCTTTGTCTTGATCACTTGGATACACTTTATAAGCCTTCATTGAGTCATCCCATGTATCGTTCCCACCACCTCTATGACTCTTCTTAATTTTGAAGATGCCAAAAAAAGATAAAGAAGACTTCCGTTGAGTTTTATGTCCTCCCATTTAGTTGAACTATTGAAAAGCAGATATTTCTGATAGGAAAATGTGTTTCTTAGGTATAGGTTTTTCTGTCAGCACAGGTGAGTCTCTTGTTTTGTAGAAGTCCTTGAATACACTCTACGGATTTTATAGTTGGATGCTACCTTTATTGGCAATGGAGCGGAGCCTAAGCAATAAAGAATCTTGATTTTTGTTCTAGACCGTAGAATGAATTGCATGGTGCATGCAGTTATGATATGATTTTAATGTTAAATGACTATCGCAGAAAATATGTTAATTATTTTCACTTCTCGAGTCATTATTAAATGTTAACAAGAAATAGCAAAAAGAAGGTTCCGAAGTATTTGCATTTTTATTTTTAGGATATATAGAAGCGTTCAATCAAAAACATTTCTTATTGTTAGAAAATTTAAGAAAAAATTTTGACCACACAACCTTTTTATATTAAAACCATCAAATAATATTAAAATAAATGTAAAATTAGTTAAAAATTAAATAAACCCTACTAACTAACACCACTCACAAGCCAACCACCATTACCCACCTCCACCACCCACTACCCATCACCACCACCACCACCCCCACCCACCATCCACAAAAACCACAACCCACCACCGTCATCACCACCCGCTACCGCCAACCATGATGAACATCCACCACGACCGATCACCACCAACCATTACCACCCACCAGCACAAGCCCATTGAAACTACCCACCACCATCACCACCACATACCCACCACCATCACCACCACATACCCACCACCCACTATTATGACCACCACTACCACCAACCACCACCCACCACCACCACCCGCCTCCCCTACCCATCACCACCACCCAGCATCACCTCCTCCACCCACGCACCCAACACTACCACCCGCCTCCACCATAACCCACCACAACCATCCCCAACCACCAAGACCACCACCACCTACCATCATCACCACTACACTCCTCCATCACCCATCACCACCACCTATCACCACCACCCCACTCATCACCCACCAAAACCACCATACACTACCACCCACCACCACCACCACCACTTATCACCACCACCCGTCTCCACTACTCATCACCACCCATCTCCACCACCCACCACCCACTATAACCAACACCCACCACCTACATGTCACCCCCATCACCCTTCACCACCACAACCACTTACTAAATACCACCACCAAACATCACCATGACCCGCCATCGACAACTATCAACACCACCACCATCGACCCAACCACCACCCACTATAACTACCTGTTGGATTAATGTCTAAGTCCATAACTATATTTGGTATGTACTTGATCCAACCCAGCATGGTCCATTTGGGTTGCACTTCACTAACACAATGTATATGGATAGTCTTTTGAGAATAGTATATTTGTGATTAATATTAATATATTATAAGTTCTAATATATTAACATGGAATCATATTATTTAATTAGTATTGATCAAGAATTAATTAAGTGATCAAAATGAACAATTAAATATGGACTCTTATATATATGGAATGGGCCAAGTTCATTTAGGTTGGGCTAAGCTTTCATGGATAGTCCATGGAGTGTTTAACCCATGGATCATATGAAATGAAAGGTCATGGGTTTAACCCTAGTATCCATACTATATAAAGATGTCATTGGTTGGTGAAATTGGCACTAGTGTGGTACACTAAGAAGGGCTAGCCGATTTCACTAGAGAGAACCAAGTATCCATATTCTCTAAAGTCTTCCAAGGTGTTTTGGTGATTTGTGATTCCACTTGAGGCTTCCACACTATTGGGGCTAAGCTCTTAAAGCTTGAAGACATCAAGCTATATCAAAAGGTATGTCATCTAACTAGTACTTTGTAGTATTAGAACTTCATAATATGCTAGTTAGGATTAAAGCCTTGGAAAGTTCTTATTTGCATGTATAATAGAGAAAACATAGATCCAAGGTTTATAGGGTTGCATGTACACCATAGGAGTGTTAGAATGCTCAAAATCCAACAGTGGTATCAGAGCCACGGGTTGTTTTCTGTTATATTAATGCAAATATTTTATTTTGAAAGTTGAAAAAAAAGAAAAAAAAAAAACATGAAGTTTGTCAAATTTTAAGATAATTACTTGTTCTTGTGAAAAACTAATTATTTGTAAAATTTGAATAATTTGCTATATGAGTTGAATTAGGTCAAATTTAGTAAAAGATAAAATGATATGATTATTTTCTTAGTTTTAAAATTTTGATCTAAAGAGTTTTATTTTTTGAAACCTCCATAAGTTATGGATATGAAAAGGTTTAAAAAAAATGATTCAAAGTTTTTATGGAGTTACAAAATTTGTTGTTAATGTTTTAAAGAATTCCATAACTTAAGAATAAGTTATGGATCACCAAAAGTTTTTTGTGTTACCTTGTTTTATGAGTGAATTTAGATTAATGAAAAAAATTATGTGATAGTTGGTTTTAATCCAAATTAATCCAAAAGAAGTTCATAAAATGTGTTTATGTAACTTAAAAGTCACATTTATGAATCTTAAAACTCATAAAAGTTAACATAGGTTACAAAAATGAAGAATCTTGTTTTCATTGAATGCTTTGATGACTCCATAACTTGTCCTCAAGTTATGGAGGTTCAAGAGTCACTTCATTAAATCATTAAAATTGTAACCTTAATTAATTCCATAAGTTATAAAATAAAGATAAGTTAATTCTTTTATTAGTTTAAAGTCTTCCATAACTTGTCCTCAAGTTATGGAACTTGAAGAGTTTTAGGATTAAAACTATTTTAAAAACATAAATTATGGAATTAATTAGTTTTGAATATTTTCAAAACTTGCCCTCAAGTTTTGGAATTTTAAAAGTTTTCTCTTATGAATTCTTTAATTCCAAGTTAGCCCTTTAGAATTTTAAAAGTTAAAATTCAACCCTTATACTTTATAATATTATAAGTTAATAATATATATATATATATATATATATATATATATATATATATATATATATATATATATATATATATATATATATAAGAGTAAAATCAGTCTTACCGTTAGTAGGCCTCATTCACGAAGTCGGTCTATAAGGGGGTATAAGGTTACTGCCTATAAAATGGCAGTTTAATGGGTGTCCACTCTCACCCACCGCTTCCTTGATCGGTGGAGGATCGTTAGCCGAACGGGTTTGATAGGACTATAATTCTCCCTTCATTAAAAGTATTAATGATAAATACTAAGTAACTAAACTCTTAATAATACCCAATCTTAGTTACTTAGGAAAATGTGAATAAGGTGCTAATCCATGAAATTACACTTTGCACTTTGTTTAAGTCGGTTAGTGGAGTGTGTGTGGTTAACCGGCACACTAACTCGTATTTAACAAGGTAGGCAAAGGGTAACTTAATGTTTATCAAAGTATCGATGGAGCGTGTATGGTTAATCGACACATCAATTGAGGGGTAAACACTTAAGGGTACCAAGTAATCTGCATGGTTACTTCACACCTTGTTTTGTGATCCTCAGCATCCCAGTCACAAAACTTGAAGGCCATACTCGACATTGAAACATGCCATTGAACAGTTCAATGAATCTCAAAAGATCTAGGAGTTTCAAATCCAATTAAAACCTAATAATAAATTTCGTTTATCTTGGTGGAAATTGGTGAATCGTCATTCACCTACCTTCAAATATTTTATAGCTTGGATTATGGTATCCCTCTTCTAAGTTATAAAATAGTTTGTTTGGTCCTAGCCTTAATATTTCATATTGGGTGTCATATTAAGGACTTAAGATCAACTATCTTGAATATCTCCCAAAAGATATCTGGTCTAGACATCTATGATCTTCCCAAATCACTTGAAACAAGTTTTCCTAAATGAAGATGATGTCCTTTGGAAATCATACTTATTTAACCTCCTCCAATTATTCTCCCCAACCCACAAGTTCAAGGTCACTCAAGCCCTATTGGCAAGGCAAGGTCTAGGTGTGATAATATCTTGGAGATGTAGTCACAAATTGACAAGTCGGGAGAGTTGGGTGTCAAAGTCTTGAGAAAGTTGGTGGTTCAACTACTTTCTAAGTCACATAGTGAGTTCTTTTGGAACACCTATGAAACAGACTATGACAAGACCCTTAATGATCTTATCTATTTGCTAAGATCAACTTCCTAAAACTTTATGGACATTGACAATGATGACATTGGATATCTAGTAAAGCTCTCTCTTCCTAGTGGAAAGGGATCGGCCATAGTCAACTCGGTTGACCAAATGGTAAAGAGAAAAGCCAAGTCTGAGATAGTCCTGTGTACCATTATCAAAGGGTCCATATGTTTATATTGCCAAAGAAAGGGGCATTAGTTGCAAAGCTACCAAACATACCTAAGGATGTTAAAGTCAATAAGTTTGACTCTACTTCAGGTAAAGTCCGCTATCTAACTTTGCTAAGTTTCTATTATGAGATTCTTGATACATGATGTGTCTGGATCACATGGTGATGTTTTAAGAATCAAAGAAAAGTGAAGAAACTTAAAGAAAGAATATGCTGAATCTGATCGCATAGATGGATTTCTGTCGCATAGTTTGGAGATTGGATTCTTGAGCTACTTCTTAGGAGTTATGAGATATTGCTTAGGAATAGATAACAACAAAATTTTCATATGGATTGTAAGGATAAGTTTTTCCGCAAATTACTAAAATAAAAGAAAAAATTTCTTATTTTATTTATTTTAAATATCCTTACAATGGCATTTGAGGAAAAATTGTTGCTTATATGATTCCATTAATAGCAAGAGTGGAAATATGAAATTGATTCTTTCATTTGTGGTAATGTCTAAATTTACCAAATAAGGAAAGATTCTCATCACCCAAGTTTCAATTGGACTGGAACTTGAAATCATGCAAGTTGTATAGCATGATGAATGAGAACTTTCAAGTATTGGAAAATTAAGAATAATTAGTTGATCACATGGATGCGCGAGTCAAGTAATGAACTAAGGGATCGGGTACACATTCTTGTGCACTGATTAAG